CGTAGTCAGGGTTGCCATCAACCCATGCGTTCAACACAGTTGCCACAGTGCTCCCCCCAGACTTTACGTCCTAAAACGGACGGGGAGTCTAATCTTACGCCCGAGACGGCCTGTCGTCGGTGGTTCGAAAGTTGGCGTTTGATCTGGTGATGATGTGTGCGACTGGGTTGCGTTTTGTAGCGTCGGCATTGTTGATGTTTGCATCTGTGTTTGCTGCGACTCAATAAATGCCGGCTTCAGTCGGTCTATCGAAACGTTGACGTTGTTCCTGTTTATATTAATGTTAAAATATTTTTGGTTTTTGGAGACCACCTGGTATGGACCGTCATATGGTGGTTGAAACGCCGGCCGGACTTTATCATTGCGCACGAAGACATATGATGCATCCATCAGTTTGCTTGAAACGAATTTCTTCGAAGTATCGTGGTTTGCGGTCTGGATCGGGCGTATCTCCTCCATGATATCAGTGAGCTGTTTCACGAAGTCCGATTGCGGACGCGGAGCTTTGGTTTCGTTGAAAAATTGTCCGGGCAACCGTAAGGTGGTGCCGTAGACGAGCTGTGCAGCTGTTGTACCTATGTCAGGTTTGAAGGCTGTACGTAGTCCCAACAGGACTATTGGTAGGCAATTAATCCAATCCTGCCGTTTGTGACAGGTTATCGCTGTCTTGAGTGAGCGATGCCAGCGCTCTATTATGCCATTCGCTTGCGGATGGTATGCTGTGGTGCGCAGGTGGGTAATGCCGAGTGTTCGTGACAATTCGTTGAATAACTGGGATTCGAACTGTCTCCCCTGATCGCTAGTGATGCGTGCTGGTATGCCGAAGCGTGAGAACCAAACGTTGACAAGTTCTCTGGCTACCGTTTCTGCGGTTATGTCCTTGAGCGGGACTGCTTCTGGCCATCTCGTATATCTGTCTATGATGGTGAGACAGTACTGGTATTCGTTTGATTGCGGGAGTGGGCCGATGAGATCAATGTTGATATGCTCGAACCTGCTCGATGGAAGCGAAATTGTTTGGAGCGGTGCGCGAACGTGTCTGCTGACCTTGGACTGTTGGCAGCTGAGACACCGTTGTACTGCTTCCGAAATGTCTTTGCCCATGTTTGGCCAAACGAAGCGTTCCTTAACGAGCTTTGTAGTTGACCGTACCCCTCCGTGTGATATTGAGTGCATCTTGTTGATAACCTCACTACGATGTCTGTATGGTATGAATGGCCGTACTTCCGCTGTGGAGACGTCACAGTAGATTGTGTGCTCAGTGTTTGGCATACGAAGTTTTTTTAGTTGAAGGGACGTGTTATTGTCGTCGATGAGCTTTTTAAGTTCCGGGCAACTTGTCTGGTCCTCGGCGATTCGCTGATAGTCGATTTTTGTTGTCTCTAACATCTCAATGCGGGAGAGTGTATCTGCTGTCGTGTTCTCGATGCCGGCGACGTGTGTGATATTCGTCGTGAATTGACTGATGTAGTCTAACTGTCGCAGCTGTCGCGGTGATGCTCGATCGTGCTTTTGTCCAAAAGCGTATATTAACGGCTTGTGGTCCGTGCGAACCTCAAAGGGCCTACCTTCAAGCATTCCACGGAAGTGCTTAATGGACAAATACACTGCGAGTAGCTCACGGTCGTAGGTACTATACCTCTGTTGCGTTTCGGTAAGTTTGATGCTGAAAAATGCCAGAGGTTGAAACTCATTCTCAACGGTTTGGTGAAGGGCTGCACCGATAGCGGTATCACTTGCGTCTGTGCTCAGCGATATTTGAGCGTTCGGTGCTGGGTGGGCCAGCAGTGTTGCGTTTGCGAGTGCCTTCTTGCATTCGTTGAAATGGTGGATGGTGTTGTCCGTCCATTGAATTCGAGTTGTGTCGTTTTTTCTGTTCCCCGGGATTAATCTCACGAGCGGCATTTGATGACGTACGGCGTTTGGCAAAAAACGACGGTAAAAATTGATCATTGCCAAAAATCGACGCAATTCTTTGGCGACTTCGGGCAATGGAAAATCGTTGATGACTTGGACTTTCTCCGGTAGCGGTTTGATGCCTTGCGTCGTGACCACGTGTCCAAGGAACTCGATTTGTGCTTGTGCGAATTTGCATTTAGCCAGGTTGATTGTGAGATGAAACTGTTTAAGGCGCTCGAAGACCTGCCGCAGGTGTTGTTTGTGTTGTTCGATGCCTTCGGAGGCTACGCATACATCGTCGATATATACAAAAACGAATTCAAGACCTCGAAAAACTGCATGCATGAACCTCTGAAACGTCTGTGCCGCGTTGCACAACCCAAACGTCATATGGGTGAATTCGAATAATCCAAACGGCGTGGTTATTGCCGTTTTAGGGATGTCGCTAGACTCGATAGGAATTTGGTGGTACGCTCGATTGAGGTCAATTTTGCTGAAAACGTTTTTGTTGTGTAAAAAGTGCGTGAAGTCCTGTATGTGTGGGAGCGGGTAACGATCCGGTACGGTCTGAGCGTTAAGAGCGCGGTAATCGCCGCACGGTCGCCACTCGCCATTTGATTTTCTTACTAGGTGTAGCGGAGAAGCGTATGAGCTTTTCGAAGGGCGACATATCCCGAGCCGAGATAAAAATTCGAATTCTTCTTTTGCCGCTTTCAGCTTATCTGGTGTGAGACGTCTGGGTCGCGCAAACACAGGGGGGTCCTCGAGTTTCGATGCAATGTGTCACTCCCGTCTGACGCGCGGAAGGAGCTGCTGCGTACGCGTTCGTAATTTCATCGTATTCTCGAAGTAGATTTTTGATTTCGATGGGTAGTGTCTGTGGGCTGGTGGTCGTTGATGTGAAGCTACAGATGTCTGGGTGGCAGGAGGTCGAATTTTTGTCTAGCAGCGTCGAACTCGCAACATCGATTATTAAATTGAAGTGTCGGAGGAAGTCGATTCCGATGATGGCATATTTCGTTTCCGCTACAACGAAGTGCCATGTAAATTTTCGCTGGAGGCCTAGGTCGATCGTACGACGTCTTGTGCCGTACGTTTTGATGGTCGTTCCATTTGCGGCGTAAAGGGGGCTGCTTCGAGATTTGGAAAGCCGACAGGCTCGAGTTGGCGGAACAACCGATACCTCTGCTCCCGTGTCTATCAAGAAGGATTGCTCTGAATTTCTATCTGCGATAAAGAAACGTTTGTATTTCGTAAATTCTGAAATTTTTACCTCGAGTTCAGACTGCGACTTGTTGCTCGATGATGTTTTACTGCCGGAACTATCGAGCGTAAAAGTTTCGGCAACATTTAGTTTTTTGCTGAGTCGGTTTTTTTGGTTGGAAAGTCGCATGGGCTTCGGCATTTACGGGCTTGTGTCCCATATTCGCGGTGGTACCAGCAGGTCGGATTTTGTTGTACGTTGGTGGTGCGGTGCGGAGTGCTTGCACGTTTAGGGTTGGTTTGCGAACGCTCACGTTGTCGACTACGGTCCTGCAGCATGAGTCGGTTTAACTTGCTGTTGATGCTTTCTAGGATCGTGTCCTGTTTTTCGATCCGTTTTTGGAGCACATCCACTTTGTTGATAGGCGTTTCAATGGCATTGATTGTTGGTCCTCTTGGTGCTGTCGAGGCTGAGTCGCGGCTTAGTGCGTCGAGTACTGCATCGGCGGTGATGGCTAGCTGATGTAACGGCGTGCCTGGCTGAGCTTGGAGCATGCCGGCGATAACGGCACGTGCGGATTCTGGTAACTGTTTAAGCCAGTATTGCTGTATAACAGACTCATCCTTTGTTGCGTTCGTCCGTTGCATTTGGCTCAGTAAATGGCTAGGCTTACCGTCGCCTAGCTGTATCCCCGTGAGTTTGTCGAGCCGGGCCATCGCTGAGTCGCTAAACTTGTTTATTATGGCATTTTTGAGTGTGGTGTACGGTGCGGTTGTTGGTGGGTTGCGCACCAATTCGAACACCTGGTCAAGGATGTAGTCGTCGGCGTGGGCAATAACGGCTGTGTACTTGTCTTTTTCCTTGCGTACCCCAAAGCCGTGTAACTCGAACCATGCGTCTACTTTTATGAACCACGATTCAATGTTATATTTTGAGTTTAGCTTCGGGAACGGTAATTTACCGAATACCGCGTTGATTTGAGGTCTGTCGCTGTCTGCGCCTGCGTTAATGCAGGCGCCGCTGCCGCCGCCGGCTGCGTTGCCGTCGTCGTTTACGACTTCCTCGACGCTTTTATCGTTTTCGTCGACGCTCATCTTACTGGTTGAATTATATGTACGTATGTGTCGCCGTTGTCCGCTACTTTTGATCGCACCACTATAACGGTTAGCGGTTGTTTGCTGGCGTGGTGCCTACTCGTAACTGGCACTGTACCAAGAATTTTGGAGGTGATCTGAATGTCACGACTATCTCCAAAATTTGTACCACACCACCACACCAGAATGTGGCTTTATGTTTTGGACGGATGGTTCTTCCAACGTTGCGCGGAGGTACCCTTATGGCTGCCCGCTTCGATGCTGGACTCACTATCTCCTTTATTTTTCGGGGTCACCAGTGTGGAAGATAATAAAACCCAGTTTATTACTCTAAAATTTACTTGTA